ACACTCGGCAGCATAGACGCTGTGCACACGGATTCACTTTTTCAACCCCATACTTAGCAGTACACGGACTCAGTTTCAATGCTGGACTTGTAGAACATAACAAATTCTGGTACATACTCTAGAAGCTATGTGACCGTTTCTTTAATACTCGTCATCATTCGCACATCCTGTCACTCGACTGACTCGTCCCAACTCCGTGGCCCAAGCTCTCCGGGTAGCTGTGTTCACTTTCTAAGCCCAATTCTTAACAGTACACGGATTCAGCTTCAATGCTGGATTCGTGGAACATAATAAATACTGGTACATACTCTAGAAGCTATGTGAGCGTTTTTTTAGTATGCGTAATCCTTCGCATATCCATTTTATTCGACTGACTCGTCTCAACTCCGTGGCACAAGCTCACTAGGTAGCTGTGTTCACTTTCTAAACCCTATATATGTACATCTATATATCTATATTGGTTTGACTACTTCGTTGCTTTTTTCTGCACTGCTTAGTGCATCACCCCCTGTTCCAGATTTGGTTGGTTTGGGCCTGCCGAAGGCTTGGGGTCTATACCCTCAATGAACAGTTTGGCTCCCGCAAGGGTTGCTGGGCGCGGCCGTTTCCACCGCTTTGACTACATGCGTCCGCATTCCGGACCAGGTTGTGGATCGCACATCCTGCCTCACCTCATGGTGTTTTCAGGTTGGGTGTCTAGCGTGTAGTCAGTCCCACATCAAAGCGACCTACGCCTAAATAATATAAATAATTAAAAACACACAATCCGTCCACGGTTATGCACTGAAGCCCCTCGTTTCTTGGTTCCGAAAAATTTTGAACTGTATGGACATTTGCAACCCTTTATTTATAATCTATTTTACGTCTCTCCTCGTATAAATCTGCTCCTCTCTAGCTCCATTGCAGTCTTTTTTCCAATATCCCACATGTTTCATCTTCGCTATATGCCTGCTCCTGAACTCGTTTCATCTGGTTTTCTCCTGAACGACTTTCTCAATCTTTGGGTCTTGCCAAATTTTTTCCATAAGACAAACTCTCATTTGCTCGTGTCCATAACAATTCACCCTCTATGTTACATATTATGACCTTTGTCCATCTTGTGTTCCGTTTTCACGGAAAACAGCAAATTTATGGTACCTTCTATATCAGCTTGCAAATTGAATTCCTAAACTCTGTACTATCACTTACTGTCCCCACTATAATTTTATATTATTTTACACTTGATCATGCGCAAAAGCATGCTTCACCGGCTTCGTGAAATATACCATTATTATTATTATTATTAATAATAAACGTAACAAGGAGCTATAGTAAATGGGCAAGCATAGAATAACTAAGAAGGGCTACAGTAAAATAAATAATAAAGAGCAAAATAATAATAATTTGTTTTTTTGTTTTGTTATTTTTACTTTTGTTTTTGTTTTTGAGTACATGTATAAAGCTTTTCATAGGAGGAATCAGGAGGAGGCAACTAGACCTAGATACTTGTCAAGTCGAGACTTGAATGACGCTTGCTTGTTGAAGAGACTATCTCTTCTGGCAATGCGTTCCATTGCGAGATTTCCCTGAAGATAAAGAAGGATGTGCAAAGTGTGGTTCGGGGTTGAGGTTTGTATAGATTTTTTCTATTGCCCGTGTTCCACCCGTGGGGGCTAAAGTGAAGAACTTATCAACTAGGCCCGAGGAGAACAGGTGGTGTAGAAGAAATAAGATTTCCAGAGGATACAGATTAAGCTCCACTTCGGGATAGGAAAGATGTTGCATTCCAACCACCGCTTTAGTTGCCGATCTTTGAACTCGTTCCAGAGCATCACGATCACGGATGAAGCCGGAATGAACAACTTGACTGCCATATTCTAGGAGGAGACGGATATAGGTGCCATAAATAAGTGGAAAGTCTTTCTTGATGATATGGGGAAAGACCTTCGAAGAAGGTGAAGAACACGGAAGGCAGATTTGCTGGCTAACTGGTTAGGATATGAAAAAGAGAGATTACTATTTAACCAGAGGCCCAGGACCTTGTGCAGGTTGGTATTCTGAAGAGGTTGCGTACCACTTATATCAAAACGAAACAGGAAGGTGTTCCAAAAGCCATTCCTACACACTTGTCATCATTGATAGGTAGATTCCATTCAACTGACCAGTGTTTAATTGCATCAATAGATGCCTGGAGCGTGTGCGTATTAGTGCTTCAGATAGTGACGTCATCTGCATACATAGCTACGTTCGCAGGCAATGCACTGAGTAGATCGTTATTATTTAAATAAGGAAGAGAAAAGGGCCAAGAACAGATCCCTGGGGGACTTCGGTTGTAATAATACTCGGTTCGGATACTGTACCGTTAACCCTATACCCTAAAAGTGCAATGAGAGTGAAAGCTGCTAATAAGTGATAGAAGAGGATCAGTGATACCACACACCCTCAGCTTGCGTATGAGTGGGACGTGTGGGACCTTGTCGAAGGCTTAGGTGAAATTTATGTATAAGGCGTACGAGATTTGGCCTTCATCGTAAGCCTTTGTTAAACTATCCATGGCAGTCAGCATATTGGTGGTGCAAGATCTGCCTAACAGAAATCCATGCTGGAAGGTAGAGAGTAAATTATCCGCGCAGAGGTGCTTCAAGATGGCCTCTTTCAGCATGCGCTCTAGAATTTTGATAGGGACGCTAGTCAGGAAGATAGGACGGTAGCTTAATGGAAGGAATCTGCTACCTTTTATACGGATGAGTGAGAGAACTGTGGCTTTCCAGCGAGAAGGGAATATTCCCTCATCCATACACCGCTGAAAGAGTCGGGTGTATGGGCCAGCTGAGATATCCGCCGATTCCTTAGGAATTCTAGGGTGCCCTTTGTCAGGCCCCATAGAGCAGTAAGGGTTGAGGTTCCGTAGTTTTTTCTCTACGTCTTAAAGAGAAAAGGTGACGCAACTAAGTGCAGAGTTTAGTGGAAAGGGTTGTGGTATCGGGTGGGTAGTGATGTGAACGGTGTACATCAACCAATTCGCACTTGAGTGACGCGTAGCCGAACCGATACAAATTGCGTAATAAAAACACAATTGTTCCGCAATGTTCTACGGTACTGAATTAACGAGATTATTATAAAATGTACAATGAACCAAACTTCAAATGTGCGGCCAAAAGTGTTAGGACAGAGCCTAAGAATCCCGTCCGATCGCGCACTCCTCCGTGTCAGGCCACACGCACGCTCGCAACGCTCCAGACAGACTAAACCTGATTGGACGATCACAGAACGTGNNNGGACACTGTCTGATTGGTGCGTCACTGCGCCGTCCTCGTATGCACGATTAGTTATATATTTTTTTGACATATCGATAACTTATCGAAGAGTAAACGCTGACTGTGTCTAAACCTGTGTTCTCTCTCCGCGTTGTCGTTGAGGGTTAAGCACGAGTCGCTCGTGTCATTCGTACGCTTAAACCAAACAGAACAACTGGCGACGGGAAAATTTACCGATCCAAAATGTCAATCACGCCGGAGCAGTTACAAGCAATTCTCAACCAGCAATAGGCACAATTTGAGGCCGCTCAACTAAGAATGATGCAAACCATGTTACACCGTTTCAGTACACATCCCAATCCAGCAAAACCGGTTAAACAGTCTACATCTAAGGACACTGTTGCCGCAAGCATCCGTGAATTCCTGTACGACCCCGATACAGGAACTAAATTCGATTCCTGGTTCAAACGTTGGGAAGACGTATTCCGTTTTGAATTCTCAGATGCTGATGATGGTTGGAAGGCGCGACTACTGCTCCATAAGCTGGGAACCAAAGAACATGATCGTTACACCAACATGATCCTGTTCAAACGTCTACGTGATTTCACTTTCGAAGAAACGGTCCAACAACTTTCAGACAGGTTTAGTGAACAGGCGTCTTTGTTCAGTATCCGGTACCGCTGCTTCAAATTGGTGAAAAATGATACAGATGACTATCTGACACTAGCCAGCATTATGAATCGGGTGTGCGAGAAATTCAAGTTGCGTTCCATGACTGATGACCAATTCAAATGCCTGATATTTGTGTGCGCACTCCAGTTTCCCCTTGACGCAGAAATCCGCACTAGTTTACTAAATCGCATCGAACAAGATCCTAACATCCATCCACGGACATTAACAGACAAATGTCAGCGGCTCGAGAACCTCAAACATGACTCAGCCATCGTTGAGCAACGCAGCCCGGCTACAGCTTCATCCAATGTCCATGCTGTCACA